TATTGAAGAGAGAGCTGACGCGCGACCGGAGCGCCCGACGCGCCGACACCGACCTCGAGATGAATCGGAGTCTCGCACCCAATGGACAGAAGAGGGAGTCCACCGATAAGTACATTACACTGAATGGTGGTCCTCCGCCTTATAAAGAGGTAGACCTTCACGATAAAAGTCTTATTTAAAACTTATTTCTATTTCATTTTGTTTGGGTTTGTTTTGAACACCCTTTTCATTCATTGATAAATTTGTTTGAATTGAGTATTAATCACAATTTTGTTTTGAAGTCCACAACAGGATTATTGTCTCATTTAGTAATACGTCAAAAAATAAATTATAATCTCTTTTGCTATGATTGAGAAATAGTCGTTAGATTTCATATCAATAACAAAATACTTAAGGATTGACGTGAGAGACGAGCCTTTCTATGAGTATATATGACTTAATTATTTTATATTCATATTCCGCATAAGATATTATGATATCTACAGATATTAATGTATATATGCTATGAATAAATGTTATTTAATTTGTTTTCTGTTAGAAGAGTATTTTTAATAGCATTTAAATTTTGCCAAAAATGTAAATTACTTTGTAATTAATACAAACATACATTTACCTCACATTGAGTTCAACATTTAATTCGGGATTAATTTTAATGGGGAACCTCGTTAGATGTCAGCAAATTGTGCCAGAATAATCTGTAATACAGTACCGGTAACATAAACTATATGACCATATCTACCAACTGTCCCGTCAATCCAATTATAGTCACTCATGATATGAACATTTTACTATTAAATAACATTATAAATATGAATGGCTAATCAAACATACACTCATTTTTTATATGAATTCATTGACTTATATTTCCCCTAAATATAACCATACTTTGAATTAAAATTTTCTGTATATTTAGATACAATGATAAACTCATTATACTTAGAAAATTGATATTTAATTTAAGTATTTTAAATTTATAATTAAAAATATTAATTAATTTTGAAATACAGTATGGCGTTAATTAAATGTTACATGATATTTTTGATATCCATATTACTTGCAAATAATCAAATACTTATAACCTGTGCGGATAAATGTCGGTCAAATGTGGATCATTTCCATGTATCAAAATATCCGCGATCACCAAAAACTGCAAATGTTTTCAATAGAAGTGACGTGGACGGCTTGTGAGCATTCATATAATAAATATAAATGATCCAGGTATTTAAATAGCTATATTTAAAATGACAAATATTGTTTGATATACTCGTAGTACAGAATTGAAAGACATGCTACAAATACAAACCGTTTGATTTGACATTCAGTGGAGCCAACTATAATCCACCCAAACATCTGTTGGAAGCGCTTAAAAGTGTGGCCAACGATAACTCATCGCTTGAAATACACCAGAAGACCGGCCATAAGGGTCACCCATCCCTTCGCAAAGCTTTGGCTTACTTTTACTCTATTCTTATGAATCGCACGATTGATGTGAATAAAGAGATTCTGGTGACGGCCGGTGCCTTACATGGCATACATATAACGGCCAAATCATATCTTAATCCTGGCGACGAAGTCATCATTTTTGAGCCATTCTTCATGAGATTTAAGTCAGTCATCGACTTGTCGGGAGGCGTTTCCGTCTATGTGCCCCTCCGGACACTTAGCGGCCAACGAGCTATCGAATCAAACGACTTGACATTTGATAGGAAAGAGTTGGAGTCCAAGTTCACCAACAGAACCAAAATGATCTGGCTTAATAATCCTAATAACCCCACCGGAAAAGTTCTTATAATTTTAATAACATATGATCTAGATAACATTTAAAATCTCATATAATTTAGATGTTTACCGAAGAGGAACTGCTATTTATCGGACAGTTGTGTGAGAAGTATGACGTGCTTATAATGAGCGACGAAGTGTCACAATTTCATTACTATGAGGGTCACCATCACACCAGAATCGGTGACATTTACATGAATTATGCAGATATTCTCATTGTCTGAACCAATGGTTTGCTTCAATGACAGCAACTCTGCCGGGACTTTGGAATAGGACTCTAACGGTGAACAGTGGGGCAAACTGTTTGTGAACAACGGCTGGAGAATTGGGTGGGTTATAGGACCCGACCGCCTCTTATGGTCCTTAAGGGTATCATTGATTACATCGATAGCAGCGGTGCCGACGCCCACGCAAATAGCATTTGCAATTGGATTAGAGATTGAGAACCAAAGACTCAATACTAACCAATCGTTTTATAATTGGCTTAAAAATGATACACTTTTTAAGAGAAACAGATTCTTACAGATATTGAATGGCACGGGAATTGATGTGATTAAACCAAACTCCGGGTACTTTATTGTCGCCAACTTTACTAATGTTATTAATAAAGTGGATTTGTCGTCACAAAAGGACGAGAGACCAGGTTTTCAACTTCCATATTGGCTACTGAAACACAAAGTATTTAAATATTTAATAGTTTTAATTATTTTAATTTACATATTTTTCATTGCCAGAATCTGTTTCTAATGCCGGGGCATATATTTTATGACAAACAGAATATTCAATGGACTCAATATGTTGTGAGGATTTGTATTATTAAATCTAGTGATTTGATTGATAAGTTTGAGACAATCATTACAAGTATATTTAAATAATATAAATAATGTCTTAATATTTTTTTTGATATTATTAAATTACTATTTAGTTTTTATAAATTTATTTAAGTTTTCCACAATTTATTTAATTTACTATTTTTTGTTATCTATTGTATTTAGAAATGAAAGGTTTTAAATAAATTTTAAAATAATTAAATATGTAATTGAATTGAAGCTCATTTGAAGCCTATTCTGAATCCGAGTCCAGCTCTCCTTCCTCCGGAAGTAATAGCCTTAAGATATTGAGCGCCGGCTTTATCTCGAGCGCAAAGTTTACGAATTCAGTCATCAATGGATCCAAAACGTCGAAAAATATGGCATTTATGTAATATTCAGTGAAGTTGTAAACAATGGCTTCCAATGAATTCATTAAATTCATTGATTCAACCATTTCGTCAATTTGACACTTTATTATCGCTATTTTCAAGTCTATGTTAAACCGAATGAACGATTGGATTAATGCAAAGTATTGAATGGAAATCAAGTCTTTGGATTCATTGTCACTAATCATCGCTTTAATTGATTCGCTTATGACTACCATTTGATTGATACGATCGCAGACCATATCAATGACCTCTTCATTACTTTCTTCGCTCATTATCTCGCATTCAATTCAATCGCTTATGAAATTATAATCTCTTCTAAATGTTTAAATAATTATCAATACCTATGAGTGCGTGACGTTTCGCTAATTTAATGCAAATCTCATTGAATGAGTTCATAATAGCTTTGATTGAAAACAAACTTTATTTCTAATTATTTCTCTCATTTTTCGTGTCTGTCATAAAAGACAATGCTTTTTGTGATAAGTTTATTGTACTGAAGAGAAGTTGTATTGCATTTTGATATGCAATGAGAGAGGAATGGGAGAGAAATAGGAGAGGGATGTGAGAGGAATGGCAGAGAAATCCAGTTTTAAAGGCTCGTAAATACCCTGAAAAATGTTAGCGAGAAATTGAATAATAAATGAGATGAGGTGTGCAACAAATGCTCAAAAGTTTCCTTATCGTTATGTAGGCTATCATATGTGTACAGAATTCAGGTTTGCCTTAAGATTACTTTCCCTACCATTTACTGGTCGGTCGATTGACTCCCTGAGCTCATAGCACAGGACGAGCGTCGACTGTAAACATGTTTGCATGAAATGTATGGAAAAGTTTGTGAATATATTTCCACAAATAAACATTAGATGTGTTGAGAAATAATATTCACTAATATTTGTAATATTTAACTAAGAAATAGTCACAAAACAGTTATATATATATTTGTGACAACAGTATTGTAAACGTCAGAGTGACCTACAATTCCCCATCTATTGGACACGACTTGAATAAAATGTTTGATTAATACTTGGGATCGAGCCGTAAGATTGACGCCGAATCCATCCACTCATACAGTATTGAGAAGTTTTCCATCACTTTTGGATTAAAGCGATAGATTTTTGCAGCTTTTTTTGAGCCAAACATTTCGCTGTCATCCTCAGAGCATAGCTCCACCACTACTTTCAAGGCTCACATCAGTTGCCTATTGAACAGCTCCGACACATCACTTCCCTACTCCAAGGCTCCGTTATGTGAAATCTTACAATCGCTGGGAAAAGTTTAAATTCATTGTAAAATAGCTAACATTGATAACCAAAAAAATTGTATTCATATAGTAAAACTTAGTCTTAAATAATTGCCAAAATGGGTGAAAAAAGTGTCAATTTTAAACTAGTTAAGTGTATTTATATCATAATACTACTGCTGGGCCTAATCGGGTCGACCGTGTTGTTTGTGGTGGGCCTGTACGCATTGAATGACCAGGGTAATAACATTGAACTGTACCAGAATATCATGAAATACTACGGTATCGATGAATTCAATTTCGAGCCCGCGTTCAATGAGACAAACCTCTACCATCCGAGTCCTGCCAACACGAGTGCAGACGAAGACACTCTTCAATTCAATAAACAGAGTAAGTGTTTGTTTGCATCAAACCTAATGACAATTATATTTAATTGAGTCAATGACCACATTTTCATTATTGACTTTACTTTTCACAAATTTATTAAATTATTGACAATTTCTTAATAAATAATTTTCGTTATAAGGATAATAGAGTTGTAATTTAATGCATAGATTTTATAATATAGGAATCGTTTATATAATTAGAGATAAAAAGTTGTAAATTTTTTTATTACTACGAAAACTTCATATAATTAGGGAAACTTTAATGATTACGTTATTATATTTAATTTAATAGATATAATAAAATTGTTGTTCCGATTGACAGATAATTATCCGAAATAATAAGACAATGTTTTTGCTTCAATGAATTACTATGAAAGTGAAGCAATGAAAACAGATTAAACTACGGATAAATTAACACACTATTCATGATTGCCGTAATATATACACTATAAAGAAGTTTAAGTATACATTTTATAACTGATTACATTATGCTCAGTGCCAATTCATAAAACCTTTGTGGATAATTCTTGGAATTAATTTTTAAAATTATAAAATACTCATTAAAAATATTTTCATTCACTCCTCGAAACGTATTATTAACTAATAAGTTGAGGAAAGTTTTATCAGATATCTAGATAAAATGTACCAATTGTGCCCGATTATTGATGTTAACTCAAAATCAAGTCCTTTAGAAATTAATGAATCGTTAATAAACACATTGAAAGAAACAGTTAATGAATTGGTTTGCCTTTTATTGACTCAAAATGTTTATTTGGTTTAACACGAGAATCGATTTATAACATTAAATGTCAGCAAAAATTTTATATAAAGAATTTGCTGTATTTTATATCTAATATATGAGAATTTTGTCAAAATATAAAAATAGATAAATATTTAAATGATTTTTACGCACTCTTTATGTAAATATCAATAATATTTTAAAGTAAATAAGTGTAAAAATCTGGCAAAAAAATGTCTAATAAGTTATATAATATTTTTCCAGACATTGGTACAAGTTTTGGGATAGATTATTTTGTTAGGCATTTCATACTGTCTGTCCTTCGCTTGTAATAAATTTTTAAACAATATTTTGAGATAAAATTCTCCTGAATATTATTTTCGATTAAATTTCTATAGAATTTTCGCTTTTATTTTGCGATAAAAAATATTATTTGAAAGATGTTCTCAAACTTTATTTGAAAATTGTTTTTATGTTTTTCTTTTTGTCTGCCGTTTTACATAATATAAAAAATCGATTAAAAATATTTAAGAAATTTCCAACAATAACTTTTAAAGTATAACTTTATTTTTAATAAAATCTTATACAACTACAGGAAATACAGTATATAAAATAAGCTTAAAACTAAAGGATCATGTTGTTTCAGACCATGATTAACAAGAGTATTAACAAATTATAATAGTTTTTATTAAGAAAGTAATTTTTCATTAACTGAAAGACTAAACCATTAAATATTATATAAGTTATACCATATATTAGTTGTGAATCACATGTTTGTTTCGATTAGTTTGTGTTTTTGACATTTCTATGTATTTTTGTCACACTTTTTAAAAGTTTGCCATACAGTAGAAATCTGTCAAATTATTTATAAGAGTGCCTGGCAAAACCTCTATAATAGGAACTCATACTTTTGAATGTTTTTATAGACAATAAACAAAAAATAAATTTCAAAAGATTCTTAAGAAACTAAATTTTTAATAGAAATTCAATTTTTTTATAAAATAAAATTTTTGCTGCACTTATAAGGAACTCATACTTTTGAATGTTTTTATAGACAATAAACAAAAAATAAATTTCAAAAGATTCTTAAGAAACTAAATTTTTAATAGAAATTCAATTTTTTTATAAAATAAAATTTTTGCTGCACTTATCGAAAGAAAATATGAATTTGTTTTATAATAATAGTTCTTAAAACTACATTACAAACAACTCCTTTTCAAAATCTATACTTCATATGAAGTATTTTGTGTACATATCGTAAACATTGCAAAAACAGAATATTCTCGAGAATTTAATGCATTTTATATATTTATATAAATATATAATATCCTTGCTATAATATCCTTGCTATAATATCCTTGCTATAATATAATAGATTGCTATTAATATCCAATAAATGACTGATTGCAAGCAAATGTTTCTCAACAGACTTCTTGGGCACTATAATGGTGTTCGTTGGGGTGGTGTCCGTCATATTTGAGTTGATTGGTCTGATTGGTGCCATTTGCGAGAATCTGGTCATCACTCTAACGATACTCATTCTG